TGTCTGACAAAGGATTTGCCATAATGATTTGAGACAAGATTTTACAAGCATATTCAGACATTCATGGTAGTCCAAGTACACTGAGTGTTTTTATCTCTAGGAATTGTTTGAGACCCCATCCTAGACTTACACACACACATCTTGGCTGTTGGTTTCTATAAGAAGCTTATCTGCCCTTTGACAAATTTTTTGTTTTTTGTTCTGTGGTGTGACATGCCACCATCATCACAAGCAGAAAAGTTAGTGTGGGAGCTGGTTTAGATGCAGCAAGTTGTACTGGATTACATATTACCCAGGCTTAAGCTTAACCTGATCCAATTATATCTGTATATTGGATTACATTGGAGACTTACTTAGCATCAACCTTACTTCTTTCCACCTCACAAAGTTTTTTTTGAGCAGTAACAGGAAAACTTGCTCAACTAATTTTTCTTTTGAGAAATAAAGCTTATAAAAATATTATATTGTTCAACTAATTTTCCTTTTGAGAAATTATTTTTTTTTTTTCCTGTTTCACCCCAAGGCAAGGTTTGAGAAGTCATTAGGAAACCCAGAGGGTTTTCAAAGAAGATTTGGAGCAAGATCAGATTCGATGATAGAGGAAAGGATGAGAAGAAGGATAGTGGATAGATCAAGGCAACTGGAGATGTCGATTGACATTACATTTGAATAGTTGGAAATTATAGCTCTCAGGAAACAGGAATAAGGAAGGAATTATTTTTTTTGGAGTTCCACAGGCGAAAGGTTCAGAATAAAGCTTTATAAGAATATTATTTTTTTTAGCCAATTATCCATTACTCAACCATGCCTCCTACACAGGCTTGGATAATGGCTTGGATATATAGATATAGAACCACATCTCTGCTGCCTCAAGTCTTGAGGAATCAGAGAGCTGAGTTCAAATTCCAGTTGAATCCATTACATTCACTTACGTGCTAATAGCTTTGGGAAAAATATGAATCCTCTTTTTTTCCCCCCAGCTATGGGTAAATAGCAGGACAGACTGGGTTCTATAGCCTTAGATGGCGACTGGTCTAGGAGAAGGACAACTCCATTCAAAACCTGTGAAGGGTTGTTTGGGGACCTTGTGGCACATGGTGCACCAGGTCTTTGTATTTGGCCCTTCAAAAAGTGTGGTTGGTTCTGCACAAAACCTTCACCACTATAATGAAATCATATGTGTAGGTTGTCTTGCTGTCATTTCCTCAGAACTGAGTTGCCTGATACTCATATGTCGTAAAAGGGTCCCCAGTAGGTGAGGGTCAATAACCTGCATCGATCATGTTAGTCCACGAGATATATATACACACACATATGAGAGTGAGAGACTTGCTCAGCCTTATTCTTAAACATTTTTCCAATTTCATCTTCACTCTTATCCTCCTGATCTTAATTGGATAAAGGCTTTTATGTATATTGGGATTATTTAAAAAAGATATTTTTTTTCTTCTTGTATGTACCATGTCTCTTAACAATTTCTCATTCCTAACTCTCCCACGAGCTGTCCTGCAATCCATTTACACAAGTTCTTTTAGTAGGTTACTTGCTGTTTCCTTCTTGCCTTTAATATATCTTGTGAGTGCCAAATTCTCCAATCCTTCTTTCTTCGTTATGTGTTCCATAAATTCCAGCTGTTTCTGATTCTAAGTGTAAGTGTTCTTTTTGTTTCCATTTTTCCTTGAAACTTCTTTGTTGTCCTGTCTATGGTATTCTCATCATCCTTCTGTAGAACCACATCTCTGCTGCCTCAAGTCTCCTCTTCATCTCTGAGGGAATTGTTCAGCATTCACTGTTGTATAGGAGGATTGATATTATATAGCAGTTCAGCACCTTTGTCTTCATTTCTTTAAAAATATTCCTGAATTTGGACATTTGTAATCATTTTTCTGCTTTTTTTCCCCCATCAATATGGCTTTCCTTTTATTGCTCAATTTCAAACATTTTTCTTTTTTACAGAATTTGGATCTTGTTGAGAAAGGGTGCAGCAATTTAAAGAAGCAGATTGAAAATGTTGGATATTTTGGTGTTCCTGTGGTTGTAGCCATAAATACATTTTCGTAAGTTGACTTGATGTGAAAAACTGACATATTTTCATATTTTTACATCGTCACTATCATCATTGATAATAATAATAATAAAAATGTGTAGTTCAATAAAATTGTAACAGGTTATGGAGATAGGACCTGTTACAATTTTATGGCACTTTACAATACACACAGACAGAAGAATCAAAGCTATTCGTCCTGACATCGTGATTAGAGACTGCAAAGACAAAAAGTGCCTTCTTATTGACATGACAGTCCCTGCAGACTGCAATGTATCTTTGAAGATCTTCAAAAAATCATCGTTATTAGAGGGTGCAAAGACAAAAAGTGCCTCCTTATTGACATGACAGTCCCTGCAGACTGCAATGTATCTTTGAAGATCTTCAAAAAACTATCAAAATACAAGGACCTTGAAATTGAAATCTCAAAAATGTGGCACATGGGAACATCAACAATCTCTGTTGTAGTTGGAACCCACAGATTAGTTGGAAAAGATTCCAGTAGACTCATTGAAGGGATTTCTGTAAGCCCATGCCTTAAAGAAATACAAAAAATTGTTCTCACAAGTACAGCTCACACCTCCTGAAGGGCTTTATTTATGTAAAATATATATGTGTGTGTGTGTTTTTTTTATTTTAATTGGTCAGTGGAAAATGTCATGTTCTAACTTTAGGTCTCTGGGCGTTGTCCTTTTATGAAAGAAAAGTCAGTCAAGGTAGACCAAGAAATACAATAGATTATTGTTCAATAATCAGAAATCAAAGAAAATTAATAAAAAAAAAAAAAAAAAAAAAAAAAATTATAAAAAACTTTGTGTCTGAAAATTTAATCATTTGAGATTTAAAACATGATAATAATAGTGGTAGCATTTTCCTAAAATAGTCTCCCTTATATCATTGAGTTTGAAAAAGGTGAAGGCGAAGAAGGCAGTCTTCTCATCGAGTCGCGACACTACACCCATTCAGTGTTGCACACAGAACCTTGCCTGAGGTGTTAAGGTTTTCAAAAGGTAATTTAACTGTGCATGGATCTTCAAAACTTTTTTAAAAAATCTAAAATGCTCCATAGTTTAATAATCGCCGGCATTAGCAATTGAAATCAACATCAGTGTCATATCCTCATTTCTAAAAAAACAGAATTAAAAATTCAAAATATTTTTAATCTAACCAGAAATATAATTTGCATCGAAGAATTTTTTTTTTTTTTTTTTTTTTCCGAAAAATTTTTCAAATTAATTAATAATAACAAAAACAATATTCACAGCTCTAATGGCTTCTAATCTTTAATTGATTGGAGGTATTAGCATTTACATATATTTATTGTGGTAAATTTAGATGGGCTATAGTAAATATCCTGTTCAATACTTTTTATTTGTCATTTAACAATAATTTATATCTCATTAATTTAGCAGGAGTAGTTTTCTTATTCTGGTTGGGTGTTGAAACGTTGTCCTTTTATATTTGAAGGCTGAGTCAGGCAAGGTAACCAAGAGTCACAACTAGACAATTGGATGGAGTGGACAGGGTTGCCCTATCTGAAAGTATTTTTAACTGGGTTCCACCTGTGAAGTTATGCATTGCTTTTATTAAAACATGTCATATACATTTGGCTGTGATGCATGTGCCTGGTATACCCTTATCAAACTGGGTGTCCTGATGGGTATATTGGGCTTTTGTATATTTGTATCTCAGTGTCATTTTAATGGGGTACTGCTCTCAAACTTAATAATGAAAGCAAAAATAATGTAGAAAAAAAAGACATTTCAGTTGGAGGATTTTTTAAACATTCAGTCATTTTTTTTATTACAGTTGAATTACATTGTTTGAGTTTGTAAAGATGCACCCATTGTTTTGTATTCATTTTTAGGGTGTAAGATGCAGTCTTGTATTTTAGGCTCCACTAAAATTTCATTGTAGTGATAAGATGAGGGGAGCTAAGAAAAAGATGGCAAAGAAGGATGATATTCATAATAGTGTGAAGAAGAATGATATATAGAACAAAGCTAACCAGGATACATTTTGGGTTTTTAAATAATTCACTGTTAATGGTGGTGAATTGTCCAGTCAGCCATGAAATGTCTAAAATTTAACTTTTCCGAAGAGTCAATGATTCATTTGGGAAGAGTTGTCTCCCCTAACAAGAAGAAAACTACAAAGATAGACAAGAAAACTGTGAAGATGTAGATAAAAAGATTTTGAGTAAAAAAAAAAAAAAACAAACTTTCAACTTTCATCCCATCCCTTGTGAGTGAATTTAAATGTGCAACTATACTGGCATCTCGGTCCCACCCTTTCACTGTCGAAACGGTTAAATGTGGCCTGGCCGTCTCTTCTACTCCAATAGCTTCATATCTCACACTTCCTGTCTGTGGAACTCCCTTTCTATTACTTGTTTCCCTGATAGCTATAATCTCCAACTATTCAAATGTAATGTCAATCGACATCTGTTTTTGCCTTTTCTAATTCCTCATCCTTTTCTTCATCCTTTTCTATCAATTTTTTTCTTCTCCACCCTTCCAACTCTTTTTTCCCTTATCATACTAGTGGCACTTTCACCTTGCTTGGGGTGAAATGCTTAAAAAAAAAAAATAAATTCATAAGACTTCAGACTTTGTAATCATTGCATGTTTCTTCCTGTATCAATTTTATTTATTTACATTTTGTATTGTCTGTAAATTCTGTCTCTGTGAAATGTTTTTCAGGACAGACACAGAAGCCGAGCTGAAACTGATACAAAAGATTGCCTTTCGTGATAGTAAAATTCTTTGATGAAGAAAACTTTGTCACCACTGGGCAAAAGGCGTAAAAATTAAGGAATTGGCTGAGGTTGTTGAGAAAGCCACACAGCAGCCTAGCGAGTTCAAATTCCTCTATGATTTAAAAGTAAGTCCAAATTTAGAAACAGATTGGAAATTTTGGGTTTTTTAAAGCTTCTTAAACCAGTAAGGCTTACAGACATATCATTTTGAAATACTGGTTCTTGTTTGATCACTGAAGTTAAGCAATGTCGAGCCTTGTCAGTACTTAGATGAGTGACTGCTTGGGAATACCAGGTGCTTTAAGCTTAAATATGCGGCTGGTGTAATGGAGAATAGCTCAAAGTTAGAGAGCCGAGTCCCAATTCTTGTTGTGTTTGTTATATATAATAGTGAGAAGAAGAAAATGATGTAGAAGGAGAAGAGGAAGGTTGCCAAGAAGAAGATGGTGAAGAAGGATAATAATAATAATAATAATAGTGAGAAGAAAAAGGAGATGTAGAAGGAGAAGACTATGCTGGCAAAGAAGGAGAGGATGCAGATGGACAATAATAATAATAATAATAATATTTGATTATGAAAGGGATGTAAAATTTTTTTTTGTTCATTTCTTTGAGGAACAAAAGTATTGAAGATGGTGAAATAGGATGATAATAATAATTATAATAATAATAAGTGAGAAAAAAGAAGACCCTGAAGAAGAACAATAATAACAATAATAATAGTGAGAAGATAAAGGTGATGTAGACGAAAACAAAGGTAGACAAGAAGGTGGTGGGGAAGATAGATAGATAATAATAATGGTAACAGTGAGATGAAAAAAGAGATGTTGAAGGAGAATACCAGGTGGTGTAAGCTTGGATGTGCTGCTGGTGTAATGGATAATAACTTCGAATTGGAACTCAAGAGAGCTGAGTTCTAATTCTGGTCCAGTTTGTTACTTTCACTTATGTGCAGATAACTTTGGGAAAGATATGGCTCCACTTCATCTTTCTCAGCTATGGGTTAATTAGTAGAAATTAATTAGTTAATTAGTAGAAATTGTATCAGTAACATCATTATTATCTCTACAAAAATATTTTCACAATCTAAAAATATTTTCTGGCTTTAAGTAACCTGGAAAAGATTGATAAGTTGTTAAAAAAAAATATACTACTGAGGAATGTTAACCTTGCACTTAAATGGCAAGTAAGGAAAATACATTTGCAGACCGACTTTCTATATGTGTATCATTGGGTATCCAATACATTCTGCCAGTGAGATGCATTTAAGAAGTCTGGGTTTGTCCTTTGCAATTCTTGTTTGACAAATATGACCATTTCTTTGTTATAGCATCCTTAAGCTCAGATGGTGTATCCACTGAAGAAGTGCTGTTTCTGCAGTCGAGATATCCATTGATGTAGTAGGCATTCTTTTCAATGTAATATTTCACCATGTGAAAGATTTTGCATCCCTTTGTAAGTTTTGGAATGTCATATACAACCCAGAAATATCTTCCATATTTTTCAGAAATACCTCCTGTGTATATCTTCTAGAAATACTTCCCATATATACATGGTCTGAGGTATTATCTGTCCTGGGTAAGACAATAAACTACATCCAACAGCAAGGTCCCTGATCAGGAGGTTATAAGTTGGAACCAAATTGAATTGCTGGTGTTCCCGAGTGTTATGGCTGGAACACATTTCATTCTATAGTTAATAGACTTCTCCATCTATAATAAGTAGGAGTTAGAAAGAGTAACAGGTCAAAAATTGAGTTGATGTTGAACGACAGTTAAACGAAAAAAGTATCAACGATTGAACTAGATATTATTCTGTTGATAAAGACCTATTGTTGTGTATGATACACCTAATTTACATAAGTGGACCTACCGACCATATAAATATGGGTTGGTACCGGAAGACGGGGGAAGATAGTAGAGATTAAGAAATTGAATCCAGAGACTCTGCCCGACTGCGATTTAGTCAACCCATTATGCAGGAACAGTCTTCCCAAGAATATACCAAAACTAACTGTAAATATTGTGTACCTTTTCTTTTGTTTCAATACATTTTGTTAACGTACATTTTGTGTTGTATTATTCCATGCTTATTTAATTTACGTTATACTCGATGTATATCAAGTTCCTAACGTTTTTGTATTTCGAACCTAACGCAGACCAACTTATTACAAATACAAGCATCCATTGCCCAATCACTCCACAACAATATTTATCTCATCCTCGTCGTCAAATATTGTTGTGGAGTGATTTCACAGTGGAGGCTTGTATTCATACTAAGTCGGTCCTAAAATAGGTTTGATGTACAAAACGTTAGGAACTTGATATAATAGGCATTACGCAGAGTAATCTTCTGGTGCTCGCTGATACTTTCGTATTTGACTAACTATTGTCCGACATCGACTCACTTACCAACTGACCCGTTCCTCTTACTACTCCTACTTATTATAGATGGGAGAGTCTATTAACTATAGAATAGGTGTGTTCCACCATAACACCAGGCCACCCTGACTCAGGGTGGTAGCACCTGTTAGGCTCCCAACTATGGGCAAATAGTTAACCCCCCCAACTGGGATCAAAACACTATGAAAGTGTAAAAAAAAGGTTTTAATATCAGAAATACTTTGTTTTAAAAAAAATTTATTACCAGCAATACATTTTTGAAAAAAAAAAAAAAGATATTACAAGCAATACATTTCTGGAAAAAAATATTACCAGAAATAGATTTTTTGAAGAAAACAATATTACCAGAAATACAATTTTTTTTTTTTTTAAAAAAAAAAATGTTACCATCAATAAAAATTTTGTTGGCATTAAATAACCCATTGAGGTTGATATGCCATGAACCAAACCGAGGTATTGTGGTAGCTGTAGTAAGAATGGTAAGTAAAAATGTGTTGTTTTGGTGTAAGGAATACTGTGGTATGTTTGGGTCAGTAAATGTGGCTAGCTAAGTTTAAGATAAGGAAGATTGAAGACCAGCCTTCCTCTATTCCCCCCCTTTTGGCCTTGTGCCATATTTTTGTATTTTTCAAAATAAATATTACTTTCCATGTATACTTTCCAGAAATACTTCCTATGTATGACCCCAAGAAATACCTCCCACATAACGGTAAGACATTAGCTAGATAAAGACACCATTGCCAATAATGTTTCACTGTTATGTGGGAGATATTTCTGGATGCTATTTATGGGAGGTATTTCTGCCACACCCTGTATTTTAAATAAAAAAAAAATGATTTAAATTTCAGCTTCCAATTGAAGAAAAAATTCGGATCATTGCCCAGAAGATTTATGGAGCAGATGACATAGAAATTTCTCCAGAAGCCCAAGAACAGATTAATAGATATAAAAATCAGGTAAGAAAATACCCCCCCCGCCTACCTTTTAATTTTTATTTTTTATACAGGAAATGTTTTAAAAAGAAAATGAAAAAAGCTATCCAGTTTTGTTGATCAAAACAGATAAAAAGTGATCAATATTCGCATATAGAAATCTTGTAAATGACTCCAAGTCCTCTCACTGGTCTATCGCTCATACCATGGAAAGTGCTTTGACGAACTGCATCTCCTGGTTCCACCTGGCCTGATCTTCATGGCTCCGACTCACCATGTCATTTACATAGTAGCAAACCACTCACATTCCCGCCATATTCCATCAGTGAGAATTAAGTTCCACTCAAACAGCTTCTTCCTGCGAACCACTGCCCTGTGGAACAGACTCACAGGAGGATGTTTCCCCAGTCACTACAATCATAACCTGTTCAAGTCTAGAGTCAACCGTTATCTTCCCCTCTTATCCATATAATCTACACCTTATCGTAACCCTCTATTATGAGTGGACCCCCCTCCACGGACCACTCCTTACTGTTAAAAAAAAAAAAATTCATCAGAATTACCAATACAACTCCACACACACACACACACACACACACACAAAACACAATGTAAGGGAGAAAACTCTATTTAAAACTTAATTAAACAGAATGTATGTCCATCAGCAAGCGGGACAACAGAAAATGCCAGTTACAAATTGGAGATGTCTAAATCAATCCAGTCCAGGAATTTAATTATCTGGGGAGTGTTTTAACGGATGACAGAAAATATGACAGAAGTTCACAGGTGCCTCAGAATAGTGAAAGATGCCTTCCAAAAGCTAAACAAAGTATTAAGATTATTTACGTTATTTATATTCAGACTATTGTCCTCATCTTTGTTGTTTTTCTCACAACATTTTGGGCGTTGTGCCCTCTGGCCTTCCTCAGGTGTATATTGAACTAGGTGACCAACAGGCTATTCTGAATTGAACCGTTTGTTTAAT